ATCTGAATCTACTTCTATTTCTGGCGTAAGCGCTTCCGGTTGACGGACATCAATCTCCATGGCTAAATATAGTTGATATTGCTCTTGAAAATCTGGCAATTCTTATATGTTTCATGAGGCCGCCAACACAATAGTGAATTCTTCATTTCTCTCACAACTAGCTCACTGCTTACTGTTAGTAGAGCTTATTGTTTTAAAGACAATTTATTGTAGGTTACTGCCGCTTTCTTAATTGCAGCGCAATGGTGTTCATACTCGGTCTCGTTTAGCGTATCCTGCTCACCCCAATTATTGTATTGCATCTTCATCTGCTGATCCATTGTATAATCCGCTAATAGAATAGCACTCTGTTCGAGTGAAGACATTAGCATAGAGGCGTGATCTATTCGAATCGACGACGCCAATTCTTCCCATACTGGCATAGCTTTTAGCGATAGCAGATGATCACCAGATAAGCCAAATGACTAAAGAATATGCGGTAATAAAAGTAATAGGGATAGCAGAAAGCTTATGGCTTACCTCAGTAAAGTTTACTGCCTTTGCTTGTCTATCATTCCTATTATCTAAAGCATCATACTGACTTCTTGCCAATCCAAGAACATCATCAGTCAATGACACGCTTCCGATAATGTCTCCTCCATAAAGCTGACGCGAAAGAGTTGATCTAGGAGGAGAAAAATTGTCAAAAAAATGATTGAGGAAGGTTTACAGGCTTACTCCAAATCAGCAGCCATTTTCGTGCTTATCTGCTCTGCAGGATCACCTCGCTCAATAGCAGACCTCATTTCGGCAATCCATTTATGAGTGCAATTTGTTGTGTCCGGGATTTCCCATTTGGCACTTTCACAGTTACAGTATCTTACGATAGTACCTAGAAAATGTAATGGACACACATTTCATACAATTTGTTGGTTTTACTTTATTCTTATTTTACGATTCCTGCTTGTTCAGCACTATATTATAAAAAGTACGTCACTGAATCAAAAGTAGGGTGCAATTCAA